CAAACAGGACCCAGACATAACAAAAACTAGAGCTGAAATCGACCTTTCCCTTCTTTCTGTGCCCAAATTACTTTGTTCCCAATTTCTCTACCTCATTCCTACAGCAGCATTCCCTCTAGTGGCACAGAGGGACAGGGAATGGGGTTTTAAGTCAGTTCACAGTCCATTGTTTTCTGCCGCTCCTTCCTCCTCAGGGAGAAGGAGAATTCCTCAGAGTCTTCCCCTGCCTTCCCGCAGGGTCCCTCCCATGGGAGAAAGTCCTTCACAAACCCCTCTGACATTAATCCCTCCCATGAAGTGCAGTCCATCAGGAACAGACTGCTTGAGCACGGGCTTCCCACAGAGTCACAGGCTGCTTTGGAAGCAGTCACCTCCCCTGGTGTGGGGTCTTCCACAGCTGCAGGTGCATATCTTCTCCACCATGGTCCACGGGCTGCAGGTCTGCATCTCATCCCCTCTAAGGTCCTTCACAGGATGCTCCACTGTGCTCCTCCATGAGTGTAGGGGCACAGCCTGCCGTCTCACCACGGGCTGCAGGGGTACCTGTGCTCGGGCATCTCCTTCCTCTTACCAACCTTGACATCTCCACTGTTCCCACCTCTACTCTCCATCCTCTCTGCTCTCAGGTCTTATATCAGTTTCCCCTTCTTTCATATGTTAATTGCAGAGGTGCATCCATTGTCCTGACAGCTCATCCTTGGCCAGAGGTGTGGCCTCATGTTTTGAAGCCAGGGGAGCTTTTCATCTTCTTACAGAAGCCACCCCTGGGGCCCCCCTCCCACTACCAAAGCCCACACCACACCAAACCAGCACAACATGTTAATCAAAAATCACCCAGGGATAGTTTTCCCTTTACCATTATGATGGCAGCTGTGTGTCAGCCCACACAAATGTACAAACAGCAGCAAGTTGACCAGCAGATTTATGATCTGGGCACTTTTTTTTTGTAGTGGGGAGTGTGGTCAGGTATAGGATGAAGGGTTATTCGTGGTTGGTATAACTGTGCCAGCAAAAGTCCTGCCATGCCATTTCTGATACTGGCCATTTTTTGCCATTTCATTGATAAAAATTGCATCTATAAAGCAACATTTTATCAGTACTGTACAGATCATACTCCTTGGGCAGTACTTCCTCTGAAGGGAACTGAGTGCTGAATTTATTAAATAGAAAGTGTAGTCTGAGTAAAAGTTGCAGAACCTGGCTCTCATCTGCCTATAAAGGCTAAGCTAAGATTTAAGTGGCTAAACACCTGATGCTGATGTTGCTTACATTGGTATTAATGAGTAACAGGCAATGCCAACAGCTGTCATGTGCCATTAAATGCAACAGGGTTGTATCAGTGCCAGGTCAAGCTGAGTGAGATCATGATTCAGTCCTTGAAGCTGCTGTGCCTGGATTGGGAAATCAGTCTGGGTGCAGGCAAAGGAAATATTTGGTCTGGCTGATCTGTGTTCAGGTGGTAAAATCTCACCCCAGATTTATGTAGGGTCTGGTGACAGCTTTAACATCTATCTAACGTGCAGACACCTCCATTGCAAACATCAGAACGGGAATCTATAGCTGAATCCCACTCTACAAGTGACATCTTACATGGGAACAATAGCAACTAAAAGTGTAGCCTGGGTCAAAGCAAGTGTTTATTTTAAATTATTTGTATTTGTAGGTAGACTGCTGTCAGAAAAAAACCAAAACAATTGAAGTACAATAATTTAACTAATAGGCTGTTACAGGAATTTAGCTGTCCAGATAATTCATCTGTGTCAGTATAAAGAAGTAGAGCTGTTTGTGCTTGCAGTCTTGGAAGAAATCTAACTTAGGATGCAGCCTAAAAGGCAAGATGAAAAATCTGGATTGCTAGCATTGGTGATCCTATGTTGTTGCTAGACTAGCAGGTATGAATGTAAAAAAATCCAATGTGGATTCAGTTTAGACCTTTACTTCTCAGAAATCTTGAAATTCATGGAAATTTCTGATCACCATGTAGAATGCATGAGTCAGTGATTTTTCTTTTAATTTTGATTTTCATCCTGTTTTTTTTTTTTTTTAAATTTTCATCCTATATGTAGTGCTCTGTACAGCTCTAGTTACGTCTATATATGTTACTGGTAATAATTGTAGAACATAAACCTGATTTCATTTTCAAGGGATTAATAAAAAGAAGGTAATTTGAGGTCAATGGTGCTGCACCAGTGGACAAGTGGAACAAAATTATTTCCTCAGAATTTTTTTGCTGATGTCAAGAATCACACTTATGCTTAAGTGGTTGCAGTACTGGAGCCTGTACGTTGTGTGCTGGGTATTTTATTCCTATTAGTAAGCAGTCACTTGATCAAGTCCTACTTGAGTAGGTCCCTTAGAGGAATGTGAGGTTATCAGTCTGGTTTCCTCTGATTTTTGCTATGAGAGGACTACATTTTCAGTTTTATTAGTAACCTTCAGTATAGCTTATAAATCTAAGCCTAAAAATGCAGGTCCTTCAGCGTTGTTTATTGCACAGCAGCGATAAATCTTGCAGTCATTTGGTTCACTACTGTAGGTGGAGTGCTGCACAAGGAGAGCAGACTTCTCTTTGCAAATATTATTGCTCAAGATAAGGGTGTAAAAAGCAGATTAGGAGATGACATGTGACGTGTCCTTCCCTCAGTCTAAAAGTACAGGATCATGGGATGAACTTCGCCTGACTGGTTACACAGAGACTGTGTTCACATTTGCAGTTCTTACGGACAAGACTGCCAAACAAAAAAATAGTATGACTCTCATGAGCTCCTTTCTCAGTCACTGCATATGTGGAGACCCTTTACCTGTGTCTGATTCTGAGGTAAGAAGCTTATTTAACCTGTGATTTTGCTGCTCTGTCCTTGGAGGGACTGGTTTAAGGAACAGCTTTTCTGAAGCTGTGTTGGTACTCCGACCAGGGAGTCACTCTGTACTGAATCGCTTATACTGGTAAAACTGGTCTTCAGTTAAAATCTGCAGTGAAGCTGAGCATGCTTGAATGCCTTAGAAACCAGAATTTATGCAGGTGCTCTATTTCAAACAATTTTCATGCTATAAATGAAGTAACTGAATGTAGAGAAATGTATAACATTGATAATTTTTCTTACCTTAATTGCAGTAATCATGTTAAAATGCTGACTGCTTAATAACTCTGCTTGCTAGCTGAAGGGGTTTAATTTAGTGAAATTTGTCTTAAGATGTCTTTCAAATAAAAAGTGAAATCTGTGTTGTCCTTCTAAAAAAGGCTCATTGGAGCTGTACTGGTCTGGTTGGAAACAGCAGGTAGAGAAGGTGACAGAAAATAAGTCCTCTTTCACAGGCAGAATTGTAAAAGGCTGATTCTAGGCTGCGTGTATGCTCTGAATATGCAATACCTGAAAAGCCTTCATCTGGTCTGAAAACAGATGAACAAAACATAGCCAGAGACAGACAAAATTATGCCTCTCTTTGTTTTGGAATACTTACTAGCTTTGAATTGTCAGAAATGCACTTGGGTAGTCTACAGATACCCTCCTAATAAAGAAGTAGGCTGATTTTTTAGAAAAAAAGAAGAGTCATAATTAGTTCAGAATTTGTGTAAGAACCTGAGGCAGGGTTTACTTGCTCAGCAGTGCCTTGGAGTTTGCCATTCACTTCATCAGGCAGGGGTTCATGCAAAGTGCCACCCAGTCAGAAAAACCCATCTTCCTCTGTTTCATTTCTGTTCTTTGTAAGGAGCAAGGAAAAGCCCAGGAAACTTTGGGAAGGTGGAAATTTGAGGGAAAGTTTAATGTAAATGTTAATGTGTGGTATTTTTTCTCAAAATAAACTAGAAAAAGTTATGGCAGTATTACTCAAAATGCATTGAAATACTTAAAAATGTTACCTTTAACAAGTATTTAAGTTGAGGTTGTTTTATTTCTAAACTTGCAGTACGAGTGCGATTGTGGTACCTTATAGGCATTAGCCTCTGTGAGCCAGATGTGCTGTTACATAGCAACAACATGCTCATTTTCCAGACTTCCTCTCTAAAAACATCCTTTTTTCCTGTATGTGTGTTACAGTGTGTCTCTGGTCCTACTCTGTATGCCTATAACCTCTCTGAGTACATAGAAAAATAGTTTTTCCCTTCCAGACTAGATGAGCTCAGTCACTCAGTTTGCACATGGCCGCACAATCTCCAGATCTGACCCAAGTGAGAGTGTGGGAGTGAGCGGTAGGAGGGGTGCAACTGGCTGCCCGTTCTGGTATCGGCTTATGCTTACCTGGAGTTGGCAAGCAGTTGAACTGCTGTACCTTTACTGTTTGTTTTCTTCACTGAATAGAGAGAGGCAAAGCTGAGGAGTTGCAGAGAATAATAGAATGATTATTTAGTCCAACCCCCCCTGGACAGTCCAGGGACATCTTTCATTAAATCAGGTAGCTCAAAGCCTCATCCAGCCTGATCTTGGACACTTCCAGTGATGGAGCATCCACAGCTTTTCTGGGCAATCTGTTGCAGTGTCTCACTACCTTAATTGTGAAGATTGTCTTTCTTTTATCTGATCTAAATCTATAGTTTGAAACCATTGCTACTTGTCCTGTCACTAGAGGCCTTGGCAGAAGTCCAGAAACACAGCGTGTTGGTTAACAGTGTTACAGGTAGCATCCTGCTTGTGCACAGGAACAACAGGAACAGTCCAGTGAGTGCCAGAGCTGTCTTTCCAAGATACCACTGAGTGAATTCAGTGTTCGTGATAGGGCCTGTCTGTACTGCTGACATAATAGGTGAGTTTTTAATGTTATCAGTCATGTTTGCCTAAGAGGTGCTGACTGTTGGGTGTTAACCTTACACAGCACAAGCATCATGATGTCTTTCCTTTGCAAAGTTACTCTCTTCCTGAATTGTCAGTTGCATTTATTGTATGTGTTATGGTAATGCTTTCTTTTTAGCAATATTAAGTTGATCTGCCATATGAAAAACTCATAAATTTTTAAGTGTCAGAAAATTCTGTGGCTTATTTGACTTGTTCACATTTAAAAAGGTTGCTTCTGATGACCACTGGAAGAGGTCACCATCCCAAGATGAAGAAAAGACAGACACACAGAAGGTCACACCCAGGAGATGGGGCTCTGGAAAAAGATGTCGTCCCAGACCTCTCTCAGACTATGGCCAAATGTCTGTCAGAAGTTTCTCTATACCAGAAGATGCAGTTGCAGTGGATTCTCAGAAGACAGACTGCACAGATGGAGAAAATCAGCCAGGACTGACTTCTGTCAGGTCTGGGATCCAAAGCAATACAGTAGGCTACCACAGAGGGAGAAAAAGAAGACCCATCTCTGTAATAGGTGGGGTCAATTTCTATGGCAGCGGTCCGGCAGAAGAGATAGAAGGTCTGCTGACACAAGTAAGAGATGTGCTCTCTGCAAACTGCAAAAGACCCTTTCACTTCCTTGCCTCTATCTTCAGGCTAGAAAATAGAAGGGATGCTTCCTTCTCTTCCTTCCCTTTTGTCAAGTTGACATTGTGTACTTACAATTCTGCTTTCCTGGTCACTAATTACTTCGTCTTGGAATAAAACTGTTAATGTCTTTGGGATAATCTTCGTATTGCAAATTAACCTTATTTCTTTATTGAAATGGATTTTTTTTCTCATATTGGTCACAAGAGCTGATTTGTGTGTAATACAGCTGTGTGTTTAGTCACCTTACAGGCTTTAGGGCCTGAGGAACAGAGGAGTACAAACAACATGATAGTAGCATGTTATTTGCTGATCATTTCAGTCTCCAAAAGCAGACCTGTTCAAAACATATGGCATTAGCTGTGGTGTTCATAGTCTTGGTATTGGCATAGCAACGATACATAAAACTAATATGGAAGTAGCTTCAGAAAACTGGTAATAAATTAAGGAATTAATGAAATAAAGAGAAATCTAAGAAAACTGTGAATATAGAAAAAAAACCCCACCACCCTCTTTATATTCTACTAAATTCACCTGGTGGAACATAGGAAGCCTGTAAGAAAACAGCAAGGAGTTGACTTGGTACTTGAGTAGTACCTATATATTGATTGGCCATCTCTGCTTAGGTAAGAGAGTGAGAAAGAAAAAAACTTCTGAAAGATAGAAATAGCTCCTTTTTTTTTTCCTGGAGGTAGTCCTGAGTGGGTATGATGTATAGAGTAACTTACTGTTTTGATGGTAGTCGTGGCCCTATCTTGTAACTGGTTACAGACCTTCAGACTCACAGGCTTTTGTAATACTATACTAATCAGGTGTTTTCCACTTTCTGGAAAAGCTAGAGGACTCCTACCTGAAACAACTGTCACGCTGATAAAGCAACGGAAAAAAAGTAATAGTATTTTACATCCTCCAAAAAATGTGATTCCAGTGGTTATTAATTGAATTTGAATCTTCTTAATCTTTCTCACACTACTTGATCTCCTGCTGACAAGTTCAAGGCAGTATCATTCATGGGTATGGTACTCCCCTTACTGGAATCAAATGCTGAAACAGTGGCAGGATTTTCAGTTTCCTGTGAAAAGTGATTTTTAACATGAACATTGTTACTGTATATTGAATGGTTTTCTTTATAATTCCCTGATAAAAAAAATGCATCTTGAAACAAAACTGCAGTTGAACTCATTGAACCTTTTACCAAGGCAAAGGCCATAGTTTCAAACCCTACATAGCTGGAATATTTTAAAATGAATTTTGTTACTACTAAGCTCGGAGGAAAACAAACAAAAAAAAAAGGTGGGAAAATTATTGATATAAATTCTAGGCTATCTTAGTCAAGGATAATATATGGATTTCAAAGGATATTAAGTATTAGCAACCCAAATAAGCTTTGCTGTACCAGGCAAGTGATTTAATATTATCCAAGCCCTTGATTTACTGCTGAAAACAAATTGATCTCTCTCCTGACTTTGCTCTCATCAGTTTATTAATGAAGGAACATGTATCAAGGCAACTATTTAAGTGGATGCTTTCCATGCTCTGATGCTGCCATGAGGGCTGGCTGGGGTTAAATTACCACATTGCTGGATCACTGTGGACGAGACCAAAACTATGCAGCAATCCCCAGCTTTTTAAGCTAAATTACGGCCTTCCCAGGCCTGCCACAGAGTAACAGCAAATCCTTGTCTGTCCAGGGAAGGGATCTGGACTGAAGCTTTACATTAAAATTTTAGTTACCTAGAAATAAATAGCTTTGCTGCTTAATCAGCTGGTTATTTGCCTGTAGTAATTGCCATCACTTCAATGCAATATATCAGACTCTTTGTGGTGTTACTCACTGATAGGGTCCTGGTATATTGCTAAAGCGTTGAAGAAATGAGGTTTAAAGATGGATGTTGTAGTTCAATTGTATTCAATACACTCCAAGGTTTTTGACAGTCAATTTAGGAAATAAATTTGTAGCTGGAATATAGAGAAGGACGGATGAAGCAGGAATATATGGTCTCTAAGTGTTCTTTGTGGGGCTTTCAAAGCTGATCTTTTTTTCTTAAAAGCTTTGAAAACCCATGGGAATATTTGAAAACTGTAATGCTAATTCCTTCCTTGTTTTGTTTTGTTTTGGTCTGACAGCTTTGGTGTGAGAAAATATTTTTCAAACAAGACTAAATAATTGGCTTCATAGTAGGGTGTCAAGAGATAACAAAAAGCCCAAACTTGGTCTTTCAGATTACGTGACAGAAGGGCCTATAAATAGTAACAACAAAAAGGATAATAAGGCAAGCTACAGATGAGTTTTTCTGAAGTTCATGTGCTGAGGTCTGGCTGTTTAATGTTGACTGTTTACTCAAGGTCATTCAGCCTGACTAATGTGGAGTTGTTCAGGTGCGACATAAAATTAGATTCAATTTGCAAATAAAATGGGTGGGTTCTCTAATAGTAGTTAAGCAAATTATGATTTAACTGAAGAAAATGGCTCCTACATAAAGTTATATGTAAACTTAATATTAACTATTTTATTTGAGACTTGTGGGATCTTCAGAGCTGAGGATCATAGAGACAATTGTTTTTGTATTGTAAACTATTACTTACTTTGCTTAAAAGCAATACATTCATTTGAAGAAAGCAAGCAGCCCAGGAAATGAACACATCTTCCAGATGTAGCATTTCTGGCCATTCTTTTTTCCCTTCAGGTGTGTGTTTCCAAGGCCAGCTGTCACTTCAAAGTAGGGGATTTTTCTGCCCTTGTAATTAGCTGGAGTACCTGAAGAAACCTTCCTTCATACCTGAGTTTTGCTCAGTTGGGCTTGCTGGTAGCTTTACTAATACTGGGTTTTCCTGTTCTCTCTGTAGCCTGTAGCACGGCCACCTGTTCCAGCGCACCAGGTGCCCCCTTACAAAGCTGTTTCAGCCAGGTTCCGGCCGCTCACCTTTTCACAAAGTACCCCCATCGGCCTGGACCGGGTTGGACGGAGGCAGCAGATGAGAACATCTAACGGTAAGATGGGCAAGTCTTTTTAACTTTCTTGATCGCAGCTTCACACCCCAGCTTGGTCAGGAAGTAGATGATAGTGTGAAACACAGAGGGGTGCGGACTGATTCAGTGACAAAGTAGTACCCAGCTAAGTTGCTTTGGTTTATTACTTTCTCATCAGTAGCTTTTCCTGTTGTGTACATGTAAAACTTGTTTTTCACATTTACTGTTTGATATTGCTATGGTTTATTCTTCTGTACCAGTTACACTCTTGTATTTTCCACTCTATTGACATACATGACTGAAGATAATAGAATATGGAGGAAATAAAGTCTAATACATTTGAGTTCATAGCTGAACCATAGCTGCACCACACATGTATTTCTAGTTTCCTGTTTGCCATGCATTCAGCTCAACCACCTAGATAGGCAAGTCTTAAATAATTAAGCAGCTTGTTTCAGAGAACTGTATGCAGTTGCAGTTGCTTACTCAGTGGTTCTGGAACATGATGGTCAGATTCTTGGAAAAGATTGCCTTTTCAGATGCAGTACCCTTTATCAGACTCTCTGATGTGCCCTGTGTATTTTTTCTGTAATTGTTTACTACTAGCATGCAGTGCTATCTTCAGTTAACAGATAATATAGTTAGTATCTGGAATTAGAGGAACATTTGTTGGCAGGTGGGATGAGCAGAACCTGGTTTATACTATTTGTGTTGGATGGGAAAAGCTTCTGAAATCAAACCTCTGAGGGCAAGTGGGGAATGTCATGAATTTTGTAGTTTGAGAGCAGTTGCAAAGATCTGTTAAGTATCTCCAGTAGAAAATAATAAAGTGACTCGTGTCACACATTCTGATCTCTTTCCTTTTTCTCTTAAAGTCACAAGGCATTTCCTTGTCTTTGAACATGTGAGAGTTTTTTGTTTGTTCATGTACAGTGAAATTCGATAGCACAAAAGCCCTTTATTATAGAAAGAAATTCTAAACCCAAGCACTGAAAACCAGTGTTATCTTATATTAGTTACTTGCATGTCTACTTTTATAACAATGTGAGATAGAATTGGAGATGTAAATTTTGCTGTTATGAAACAGTAAATCATCATACTCTAGGAGACAGAATAACAACCAGCCAACATGTAAGGGAAATTTCCTTTGAGACATATGTTGCTACTCATGAGCTTTTGCAAGTTTTATATTAAAGAGATTACCTGTTTACCACAGTAGAGCCATTTTTATAAGTATCTTAAAAACTAACCCATCTTTTTTTGCATATAGTGGTGTGGGACTTGAATTTGGCTAAATTAATTGGTGAACTCGTTTAGATAGATAGGCTCAGCTCTGAGTAGGTGGGGTGGGATTCAGCTCAAGTTTAGATCACCTAAATGTAGGTACCTACGTAAGAGCTACATTTGATCACCTGTGACAGGCAGTGGGGATCTAGGACTTGATTCAGTTACCAACCACAGGGGTCCAGATCTGTGTGGGATGTGCCTGCCTACAGCTGGCAGATATGACAGAGGAGATATGGAAGAGTTATTCCTTTCTTCAGTAGCAGCTGGAGGCCGGTGGAATATCCCAAACCCTACGTTTAAACAGCTGATCTGAGGCCCCAGCCATTGCAGTCAATGAAGGTTAGAGTAGGAGCTGCCTTTGGATGAGGTGGCTTCCTCTCTCAGCTGTTTTAATTGTGACCAACACCTGCTGATTTAGGTGGTTTGTTTAAATGCAGATTCTGCCATTTAGATTGATAAATTCAAATGTCTTAAATTCAAGTAGTATCCTGTCCTGGATGTTTACCTACTGTGTTACAATACTGTCAGGCTTTTCCTAGTTTATCAAGGTTTGGCAACTGTTTAGGTTTCAGCCTTTGTGGAGCACAACTCAAGAAATGAGGCGCAAACAAATTGGCTGTAGAGAGAGGGGATTTTGAGGTTCACCATCCCTATCACTGATCAAATAAACTCCACCCCAAATAAGTTATTGGTCATAGAAGTGAACAAACAGAAGTTATTAATCACTCCTTGAAACAAAACAGTTCCCTGCTTGCTACCATCTCCTTGCTACCTTGTCCTTGCTCCTGCATCCTAAAAGGATGTTGACATAAGTAGGACAATATTCAGGAAACGCAAATTCTGGGGTTACTAGACTGGGCACTGTATTTGTGGTTACCAGGAAGGGAGTGAAATATGTCTCATGTTACAAGCAGCTCTATGTTCATTGCTGTATTCTGCAGCTAAACTGCCTGAAAAGCTCAGGGATGCAGAAAGACTCATGGTCAGGACCCAAAGGGACATAATCCACTACCATGAGCTAAAAAGTCTCCATGTTGTCAGGGTCAGAAAAGCCTCTGGACTGGAGGATGATGGCTATGGGATACTTTTAAGGATAGGACTCCTAGAATCATATAATGGTTTGAGTTGGAAGGGAACTTTTAAGATCATCTGGTTCCAATCCTGCATCGACAGGGATATCTCCCACTAGACCAGGTTGCTCGAAGTCCCCTCCAGTCTCTCCTTGAACACTTCCAGGGATGAGGCTTCCACAACTTCTCTGGGTAACCGGTTCCAGTGTCTCACCACTCTCACACTAAAGAATTTCTTCCTGATGTCTAACCTAAATTTCTCCTCTTCCAACTAGAAACCATTTCCCCTTGTCCTCTCACTACAAACCGTTGTAAACACACCCTCCCCAGCTTTCCTGTAGCCCCTTCAGGTACTGGAGGGCCGCTATGAGGTCCCCCCAGAGCCTTCTCTTCTCCAGGCTGAACAGCCCCAACTCTCTCAGTCTGTCTTCATAGGAGAGGTGCTCCAGCCTTCTAATCCTCTTCATGGTCCTCCTCTGGACTCACTCCAGCAGCAGCATTATGTTCTTTCTGTTTTGGGGGCTCCTGAACTCTTAACTGATGTGAAAAGATAAAAAAATACGCTGATGGCTAATGGGCTTGTTGGTTGCCTAGATAGCTGGGCTTGATGTTGCCAACAGGACCTAGCAGTGTCTTGGGAGCAGCTGCTGTATCAGGTGAAGCACCTAGGCAGTCCCAGGGACTTTAGAGGGGAGGTAGGTATGTGTTTGGTAGGTGCTGCCAGGGAGCGTGTGATGGACAGGACACAAGCGCTAGAGGCAAAATGGAAGCTGCAAGGTAGAAGACAAGAAGCCCAGTGGTACAATTGCCCAGAGTGCTGCCAGTACCATGCTCAGTGTCAGACAGAGAGGCCTTTTTACCTCCAGGCACGTTCATGCAGCAAACTGTATTAAAAAGAAGGAGATTTAGATTATTTATGAACCAAGGAACATTTGAAATAAAAAGATCCTTTGTTTTCTAAACCAAAACAAAAGCAGGTTGCTGACATGCAAATCAAGAGATTATGGAGTAGTTTGTAAACAAAGAATTAGGGGAAAGTTGGCAAGGTGAAATAATACACAGAACAGCACATCCTTTACAGGCAACGTCAATGATCACTGCATCCTCAAATGAAGGATGGGGCAAAAGCCAACAAAACTCCAGGAGGAAATATTTAGGAACTGTTGGACAAATGTTGTTTAAAGAGGATTTAGAAAAATGGACAACCCTGACAGTAATACATAGTGAAAGTAAGAGGGGAGAAATAAACATAGTTTTAAAGAAGCAGGATGGCATATGTCAGGAACTTGGTTGAACTAAGATAACTAGCGGAGCATAACCAGCATATCACATTGTGCAGTCTGTATAGGAAAACAGGAAAGACTGTACCAGAGAAAGATGGTCTCTAATGTATTAAAGAAAAAGAGCCAAATCAGATGAGCAAATTGACTGTATCACCAAGTGTCACAGGATCTGTGAACTGCAATGCCATGCCTAAACAGGAAAAAGTATAGTGACAGGATTAAGTTGTGAACCACCTGAGATTACCAGGATGGTGATAGTAAATGTGACAAACCAGGGAAAACAAGAGAACTTTAAAGGGCAGCAAGCACAGTCATAAAAGGAGACTTAAATTGCTTTTGTGTGAATTAAGTGTTGTAATGTGGCACAGAGCTACATTTTTATGTGTACCATGAATTAAAACTGCTTGGTGCCACTAATCAGGAGACCTACAGGAAAGGAAACAATTCTCAAACTGTTCTGAGGTGTGTGCAGGATTGCACATAACAGCTACTTTCTAAGGGTGGGATGTATAGACTTGTAAACCAAGGTAGGTGACCTTTACTGGAAGAAACAAATAATCTAGGGTGTTGTCCATTGACCAAATACAGACAGGTAATGATAACCTTGCCCTCTGGATTCATAATGCACTCTGAACTAGTCTCCTTGCGGGGGTGAGAAGAGCAACAAAATCCAGTATGTGTTTTAATTAAGAGAAGGAAAATAAACAAAAGTGAAAAATAATTTATATAACAAAGAAATGTTAAGGAGCAGAAAAAGGTGTTGAATGCTTGCAGGCAGCATGAAGAGTGTTAAATGGCACCATATTAAATGCTAAGAGCAAATTCATGTCACTTGTAATGACATAATTTGGAAACACAAGAAAAGGGTTCTGTCATTAAACATGAGAAAATAATCTATCATAAGGGGAAAAAAAAAGGGCATCCTTCAGATTGTTGAATTGTATCCAAATACCAAAAAACCCAACCCTCTAGCAATTTTGATGTAAAGCTACAGGAACATAGAAACAATTTGCTATAGATACAAAAACTATGTTCTCTTAAGAAAAACTGGTAGACTACCAGCTGGTTTATAGGCCTTGCAAGTGACTATGAAATACAACCTGAGCTCAAATTAGATAAGGATCTTGTCTCAAAATGTCAGTAAGGGTTTTAGAGTAACTCAAGGAATACTAACAAATTGCTAGAACCAAGACTTCTAAAGGGAGTCTACAAGTGAGTAAGCACCAAGTAAGGGAGCAGAGGAAAGTGGTTCCTTTTCTTAAGGAGAGAGCTCATGAGTGGAGTCAGATGTTAAGTGTCTTCACATATAATGTGGTAAGAGAGATGACCTAGAATAAAAGTATAGTTCTTGCTTGTGTGCTAAAATGTTCATGGTGGTAAA